TATCGAGCCGACAGAAGATTTTGTAGACCATCGTATGCTTACTGCTACAAAGGCATTCAAGGTGTATACAATCTCGCTGAGTACTTTTTTAATGAGCATTGCAACCGAAAGGGATGTGCTGAGAAATCCGGACCACGTTGCGCTCCGATAGTCGAGCTTTGAATAGTTGTCGTTTTTCCATCTGTATCCATCAACGAAGAATAGGAGCTCTGCAGTCTTAATCTCCCCACCTGCTTGGGTAAGTTCGATATGGGAAATGCCATCTTAAAAAAGAGAAAATTAAAGGACGAAATATCAGTTTCGACCACTAAAATCAGCCATGTCTTCGGCAAATGCTACATTTACATTTCCACCCGACAAAATATAACGGTCGGCATGATCTGCTCGTTGTCAGGTCGAGTTTTGCACTCTCAAATTATGACGACGGAATTGATCTGACAGTTATTGTCGTTTTTTAAAAGTTGAGTACAAAGGTACCCAGAACGAGATATAGACCTCCAGCGTGATTTTACCCTGTCGGAAGTGAAGGGGAGTTAATTAGCGTAGTCTCTACGGTATTATCCTTGCCGCTCTTGTGGTTGCGTTAGCAGCAAGGGTGTCCTGCAAGGTCAGCACGCGTCCTAAATGCGTACTGACGGTGCATAGTCTGTGTGTTGACGTATTCACTTCTCCAAGGTTTCGTACCACTGTCTTTTTTCTTCTCCTTGACTCTCTGATCGCTCGGCCCAGGGAGTGTTCAACTAGCAAGCTAATCCCGACACGGGTTTCCTAGGTGTCCCGATTGTGTCTTCTGCGTTTGATTAGGTATCATAATATTGTTTAGTTCTTAGCGTTTTGAACCTGTGACCACGTCATTATAGGACATGCGTTTCAGTAGACGCCAATATGAAATCCTCGAACGTGGCTTTTGCATCGGAGTTGGATCCGCTTCGGCATTGCATACCGGTACATTATATGACCTGGTTATCAGGGATCCGTTTTTGCTCTTCACTTACAGAACTGGTTCAAGTGGTTGACTCTGATAGACAGTCCATGCTTCCGTGCCATAGAAAAACGTGGTGAAAACGATGGTGCCTTAAAGTTTCAGCCTGTTCGTCAGTCTTCCAAACGCTTGGATATTTTTAAAGATTTTGAAGATCACTTCGTAGTTAATTATGATGTTTTCTACTTCAGGTTTCCCAAGTAGAGAATCGTTCTTAGAAGTATGATATAAAATCACGGTCGCTACTTCGCTTCACCTAACCACAAATTGCATTTTGGTTGCTCAGCACGTTGTTAATGCCACGTTTTTTTAAATTTCAGGATCTTGAACGGTGTGCCGAAGACAATGTTGCCCTTGAGCAACATATCCGAGAACTCGAGGCCTTCGAGCTAACCATGGATCCCAACAACTATTCCCCCGCCGGAGACCTCGCAACCCCCGGCGAGTTCTA